AGGTGGGCGGCAGGGTGATGCCCGAGGCGGAGGCGTGCTGCCTGCAGCCCTCTTCCATCTCCGAAAAGAGCTGGAAAACACCCACGCGGTCATTCAATCGACCCCCCCCACAAAAATAAAGCACAGCCCATCCTGGAGCCTGTTCCCCTCGGCTCCTTCCCAGCCCCATCCGAGCCTCCGGAGATGCTCCACGGCTGGTACCCGAGGGCTCACCTGGGACAGGGTGATCTGTCCCCTCATCGCTTTGGCATAAGGACTGTCGGAGCCTCCGGCAAACATGACCTTTCGCAAGAAATTCCTGCCAGGCAAAGGAGGAGAGGTCAGCCGGGGGGGGGGACGGGACACCCCAATATCGGGGGGAGGGGTGCTGGGATGCGCTGTGGGGAGGGGGATGCTCTGTGCCGGGGATACAGAGCTCCCATCGGCTGCGTAAATCAGTCCCGCTCCCTCCTCCATCATCAGCCGGGACCGGAGCATCACTTCATTACAGGACCGGGAGATCGCTGCCCATTTATTTCTGCTGGCAGCTCAATTACTTCGCCCTGCAGATAGACGAGCCGGGGGTTTTGTCGGGAACAAAAAAAAAAAATAATGCAAAGAGCAAGGTATTTTGTAAGCCGTAGCTCAGGGAAAATAATTTGCCCCTACCACAAGATCACAAAAGGCCTTCTCGGGCGGCAATAAAACAAGATTACAGCGACGGGCTTCAGGACAAAGCTCTCCTCCGAGTCGATAAAAACGCAGCTCGGTTAAAAATAAAGCAGCTTTACCTGTTCCAGCAGGATTGCTGTCACTTTCTTTTTTTTTTTTTTTTTTATATAAAGCGAAGCAAAAAAAATGTTTGATGGCCTGATAATCTGGGAATTTATTGCTCCATCTGCTCCACGTCCTCCAGCATTTAGTTATTTAATATTTTATTCTTTTTTTAACTCCCTGCTTTTTTTTTTTTTAAACACCCACGCGCTGCCGGGAAATCCCGACGTGTTGGGCGATGCAAACAGAGAGAACCTGCTCGACTCCCGTTTGGGAGCTTTTGGGATTACTAATCCCCAAACACCCCGTATTAAATGGGGCGAAGGTTTCACCAGGACTCGAGAGGCTGCTTGGGACCCGCTCCGGGGTCCGATGCGTTGGGTTTCGTCAGCTCCGGCTCGTGCACCGAGTTGTGTCGGGTCTCAGCGCTGGGACGCGCTAATTAAGCAGGGACGGGCTTAATTAATTATCCTGCAGGATTGATTAGCAGTTGCTCTTCTCACCACTTCTGCCAGCGTCCCCTGTGGCAATCCTGCCTCTTTGGGGATTCGTTTTAACCACTGACCTGCACCCCACATCCAGGACAGGATCCCCCGCCCAGCCTGCACCCCACATGGAGGCAGGAGGTCGCCAGCCTGCCCCCCATATATAGACAGGGACCTCAGCTTGCACCCCACGTCCAGGACAGGGGGTCCCTAGCTTGCACCCCCCACCCAGCCCTGTCCTCCTGCTATGGGGGCCTCAGTCGCGCAGACCCCGCGCGGGCGGCGGCCGCACGCACAGTATTGTCGCCTCGTCTCTACGTGTCTCCGGCCTAGCGGCGACTCGCC